GGGGCTAGTTACTGTCCATCTCCTATGACTCCGCCCTCCTCCTGACCTTACCTTTGCTGGGGTGGTAAGAGGCAGCATCTCCATCTCCTCCCCAGGAAAGTGCTGTCACCTTCCAGGGTTCTGCTTCCCACCCAGCCCCAGCAGCATGAGCGAATGACCCCATGACGCTACTAAACACAGCGCGCACCTCATCAGTCATTTAGGAAGATGATGAGAGACGAAGCTATTGTTCTGAAAACTGGTAAAGAACAAAATGGGTCTTTTTCCCCCTATATATGAACTCTGTCTTGGTCTGATCAAACCATTGATGGGGGAAGGCTTGTATTCATAGAAGCTGATTGATAAATAATATTAAAATTAAACTCACCATTTTGTAAACCTAAGGATGAAGGAATGGATCTAGTAAATCACCAGTGGATGTTAATATCATACAAGGAAGGACAATAATTGTCTCCTATTAGAAGTTATGACACTCCCTATAAGTCTTATAAAAAAGAACTTGAATCTAATTAAAGTCTATAGAGTAATTAAAATTTACAGGAAATATATGAATCAGAGGAACATGTTTATTAATTGTATCTACTGAAGAGATAACAATCACCACAACCCAAGATTATGGAACAAATGACCAGTTTTTACCAATCCTGTGCACAAGCTCAGGAAGGCTGCAGAGGACCCTGTAGATGACGTGAGACACATGATGAGACACATGCTTAGACACGTGATGAGACACATGATTAGACACGTGATGACGCGTGGGCCTGGGTTGGCTTCTGTTCTAGTTCTCAGTCTCTCACTGTGTTAAGAAAGACCATGACTGACAGCAACTTGGGAAGGAAAGAGTTGACTCACCTCATGGGTTGCAGTTCATCCCAAGGGAGGCCAGGGCAGGAACACAAGGCCGGGCTACAGCAGAGACCGTGGAGAATACGGTTTTCAGTAGCTCCTTCAGCCTGCTTTCCTATATAACCCAGGTCCACCTGCCCAGAGTAGCATCCCCCACAGTGGGCTGGGCCCTCCCACATCAATTGTCAATAAAGGAAATGCCCCACAGGCTTGCTGATAGACCAATCTGATTAAGGCATTTTCTCAATTAAGGTCCCTTTTTCCCAGATGACCACAGCTTGTATCAAGTTGACAAAACCAGCACAGCTTCTTGTTGAAGAAAACCTTTAAAAAACCACAAGACAGGCAAGGAAATGTTCGACGTTATTAAGAAAATATTGACTTGGGATTGTTGATACTTTTTGTGGTATGTCTTTTTGGTTGTGAGCCTTAGATATTAATGGTTGAACTGAAAAGTGTGGGGGGGTAGTCTTATGTAGGAAGGGAGGGAGAAGGAAAGAGGAGGGATAAGTAATGTTAAAAATGTTTGAAAAACTATAAGGAAGCATATTACGTTATGAATACTTAAAATCACACACAGACACACCACACACACACACACACACACACACACACACACACACGGGCTACACCAATTGGGGTGACAGTCCTTCCCAAAAAATAACCCAAAGACTATTTAACAAGCACTCCATTGGCAGGTATGGGAAAACTGAGTTGTTGCTCCGGGGAGTCCAAGAGACTCCCAAGACAGTGTAGGCTATTCCTGTTCCCACGGTGTCTGCCAGAAAAAGACAGTAAGACCCTGAAAACTGAAGACGCCACACTTTTCAGACACTGGGTTTAGAGGAATCGATCTGGTTCTGACCTTGAAGCCTCCTCACTGAGGACTAGCTCTTAGAGTTTCAGAAGGAGGCTAGCAAGCTGCCAACAGAGAACAGCAATCAATATTGCTATCCAGCTGTGACACCAAGGGACCCTGACAATAACCAGGATGGCAAGATATTCTGAGAGGTGCAGTAGTGACGCTTATAACCTGGAGATAACCAAGAGTCACCTAATGGGACTTAAGGCCTGATCAACAAGAGGGAGCTCATGCCCGGGACTATAAATTTAGTCAGCTCTCTGTAACTGGTGAACCTGTATAACCTGGAAGAAACCTGCTACTTCTAGTTTCCTAAGCCAATGCCATCTCTAACTGCATTCTAAATACTTACCCTGATATCCAGAGATAGAGTAGTTCTCACCTGTCATCAAAGAAGATGGTTTTTTGTTTTTGGGTGTTTTTTTGTTGTTGTTGTTGTTGTTTTTTTACAGAGACCATTACAGAAAGCCACAGCTGATCAAAATGGATAGAACAACTAACTGTGGAGTTGATACACACACAATACAACCCCACACATAAGACTCGGGAAACATTATGGAAGAGGAAGTGGAAAGATTGTAAGAACTAGATAACTGAGAGAGTTGCTATGAGAGTCTCTTCAAAAGATAGATAGATTGATTGATAGATAGATGATAGATAATAGATTGATAGATAGATGATAGATGATAGATGATAGATAATAGATGATAGATAGATAGATAGATAGATAGATAGATAGATAGATAGATAGATAGATAGATAGATAGA